ACTAACAGTTCTCCCAAACTGGTACAAACTGATAGCAACCAACCTCTGCAACTGAGGGATTCAAGACAAGGTCGTTTTCATTGAAGAATTACAGTTTTGTTGTAAGTCGCTACTTGTTTCCAACTCTTTCATTCCCCAAGACCCATAGCACTCCAGGACCCCCTGTCCTCCACTGCCTCCCATAATTAGAACTACAATTAGATGACATGGAAAAACAGACCCAAATTTATTTATTACTTGAATTTGGAGAATTATTTGTTTCAGTGGAAGACTTAAGGTAGCTGACAATCAAGATAAACAATTGCATTCAAGGGTTTTTAGATGGATTACAAGCCAAAGATCAACTCTAAGTATTATTTTATTACAAATTTACCCTCATTATTACAAGTGTCAAGAAAGACTTGGGGGGAAGCAGTCAAGATAATTTTTAGTCCTTCATTTTTCTAGTTTAAGGCATTATCTCATATAAGAAAAGTCATTGTGGTTCCATTTTGATTGAACACCCTGGATGACCTTCCTAGCTGCAGTGGGGTGAAACAAAAGCATGAATAACTCTGGTCAGATATGGGCTCTTTAAAAATATCTAAGCCTGCTCTTTCAGGGGACCCTAACACCAACCATATAGACAGAGAAAAATTGCCAATATTTTCAACCACCTTGTTGAGCAACTTTAGCCGTGAAAGAGCATCTTGGTCGATAATAAGCCTCTGTCTTTCAAAACTCCCCAATTGCTCTTTGATGGGATCCTCCTCGGGGAAAGGTAACCAACTTATGATATTCAGATCTGCTGCTACATTTCCACTTTGGTCCAAGTACAGTTTCTCCCAGGAAAAATTGCAAAACTCATTCTTCTCCAGAAAGGGATGGAACTAATAATAATAATAATAATAATAATAATAATAATAATAATAATAATAATAATAATAATAATAATAATAATAATAATAATAATAATAATAATAATAATAATAATAATAATAATAATAATAATAATTTTATTTATATACTGCCTCCTCCTGAAGGACTCAGGGCAGTGTACAGCCAATTAAAAACATAAATATACAATATCATAGTTAAAATTAATTAAAATCATTAAATAGTTTTGGCCGAATTTTAAAACCAAAAGTTAAAACCCAATTTAAAATCATTCAATTAGACAGCCCCGCCTGTCGGAACAGTAGGGTCTTAAGGGCACAGCGAAAGACCCGGAGATCAGAGATGTTACAAATATCCGGGGGCAATTCATTCCAAAGGGCAGGAGCTCCGACAGAGAAGGCTCTTCTCCTGGGTGTCGCCAGCTGACATAACTTGGCCGACAGCACCCTGAGGAGTCCCTCTCTGTGGGAGCGAACTGGTTAGTGGGAGGCTGTTGGTGGCAGAAGGCTGTCCCGTAGATATCCTGGTCCTATGCCATGGAGCGCTTCTATCAACTAGATACTATCAAGAGCCTTGATAGTACAGTGGTCTACGCACCCTGTTATAAACACAGCTTCCTGCAATTTACTGCTGGTTCGAATCTCTCCAAGGCTAAAGGTTGACTCAGCCTTCCATCCTTTCTAAGGTAGGTGAAATGAGGACCCAGTTTGTGGGGGCAATAAGCTGACTTTGTATAAATATACAAAAGTATGAAGGCTATTGCTTAACGCATTGTAAGCCGCCCTGAGTCTCTGGAGAAGCCAAGTGTGAGATTGTACAGAAGCTGAGAATTCTTGTTAACTTGTTGAATGGCAAAAATGAAGCATAGGATATTTGCTGGGTAAATAAATGAACTACTGTAAAAAAAATATGTTCATGATACATCATCTCTAACAACAACAACAAAATTCAATCTTAAGTCAAAAGTGTCCAACATAAAAATACAATTATAGTCATACATCACCGTTTAATTGTTATGAGTGTTGAGAAGGTGGGATGGAGATTTAATATTTAAAATATATCATTATTTGTAATAGTGCTCATTTTTAATTTGTGAAACGACCAAGATTCAAAATTATTCAATCATTAAAATAGAATAAAATAGAATCATCAGCAAAGAGGACTTATAAATGATCCAGAAAAGCAATTCTAAAAACAAGCCATCCTCTATTCCTGCAATATAGGAATAATTGAAAGAAAAGCAGAAGAGTGTTAGGATTGCAAATGGAAGGAATGCAACTCCATCACACTGAATGACTTACGAGGGAGCTTGAGTATAAGGAGCTGTGTTGAAAGACAGCATTATTTGGGATATTATTGTGGCAATGGAGATTATACCAACGAGGTGGTCTCCTGGCATGTAATAGCTCCGTAGTTTTCTTCCCTCATGTTCCTCCAAACGTAGCAGGCACTTCATTCTCAGCTTCCCAAAGACTGGCTGGGACATCAGCAGCAGCAGCAGAAGGAGGAGGAGAACCATAATTCATGGGGCTGAATCAATCACCTTCCTGTTTCAAGGATTAACAAGAGCTCAAAGAATTGAAAGCACCCCCATTCAAAGATGGAAATGAGAGTGACTTTCTTGACCGAGAGAGAGATTAAAAGAACTTCACCTGGAAAGGAGAGAAAGGAAAGGTACATCCAAGAAGCACAGTCCCTGAATGTCCCAAAATTTGTGCCACCTGAAGTGTGACCTTATCCTTTTCTGATGCAAGATCCTTTTCAAGTTGCTTCAGTCTGATGTTTACATCAAAGGCGATCACTGGAGAAATATCAGGAGAGATCTCACAGACCAGGATTTTAATAATTGCTGTAAGAAGCAACATCTCCTCTGGGGATCCTGAACTACCTCTGGGCATCCATGTGTGGAGGAAAAGCTGGACTCAGTGTACTTCAGTGACTTCAGTGACTTCAGTGTACTCTCTTGTCTCCAGAAACTCCTGGGGAAGATCACCCAGAATTATAGAGTTTGGTTCCACCTTAGTGTCACACCTGGAAGTCATCTTTTACATTTGGCCTTCAGGCCCGCCACATTTTCTACTGTGGGAAAAGGGGGGGGGATTGCATAGAGTACAGGAAATATGTAGTCAAAATAACATTCTTTTCTCAGAGAGCCAAGGCCACCTTGCCCTGCACCTGCAATGAGGTGACTGGGAGGCATCTCCAGTTTTGGATGGTGCCTGATTGGATCATGTGATGGACATGTGGGTGAAGGGGGAAGGGACTTGAACTTTCTTTTGGGTGGGGAAAACTGGAAACTTTCAGATTCGGGTTTTCCCAGATGTGCCAATATGACATCTCTAATAAAATGGAACTTTTAGGAAATTCAAGCTTCGGAGTCTTCTTTCGTTGGGGCTGTTACTTGGAACCCTGACACTTAGGTTGATGACACTTAATTCTAATACTGCCTGTCTCCTAATATTAAGAAAGAAACCTGTAACCATGAGCCCTGCCTAATGTTAAGAATAGGACCTGTTTGTAATTTACTTTTCTTTTAGATCTCCCTGTATTAATCACAAATTCTACAACCTCTTTGGCCGATAAAATGCTTTTAAATGTAAAAGAAAAAAAAAGCCTCTGATGATCAGGCAACTCAGCTGGGATTATCAGAGACTTTTAAAGGAATTTTAAACAACCTCTTCGGCTGAAGAGGTAGTAGGAAAAACTGCTTTTAAAAGTCTGTGACGATCCCAGCTGAGTTGCCTGATCATCAGAGGCTTTTAAAAGCATTTTTTACAACATCTTCGACCGAAGAGGTTGTAGAAAAAATGGTTTTAAAAGGTAAAAAAAAAAAGTTGGCCACACCCACTCAGTCACATTACCCCCACCAAGCCATGCCCACAGAACCGGTAGTAACAAATTTTACATTTCACCACTGCCGAGAACCTTTATACTTTGAAGTGTCTTTGTTTACTAAACAAACAGCAGGCAGTATGATGTCCCCCTTGGATCACTCCCCAGATTCTTCCTCAGAGGTCAGCTCAAGGGAGGATGAGTTCATTCCTGGCACATCAGGAACTGGGTTCATTAATGGCTCTGAACACCTGGCCAAAAGAGTTTTAAACTTTCCCCAGTTTCAGCTGGGAAAAGTTTTCCAAAAACGACTCTAAAATCACCTCTTTCCTGTATATTACAAAAGATTACAAAAAATGAAGATTTTACAAATTGAAAGATGTGATGTTCTTTCTTTTTAAATGGACTGAAGAGGATACCACCCACTGACTGGTAAACTTGTTTCAAACATTTCTCTGTTTATTTATTCAGTCAGTCAGACGATAATAAAATCTTATTTCTTATTTTGTCCTTCCCTAGTTTCATGGCAATTTAAATTATTAATTTATTTATTTCACATTTTGAGAATTATCTTTAGTTAGTCTTAAATTCTTTATATGTTTATTTCTTTTGATTTTTAAGTAAATTGTCAAAACAAGCATACAAACTCAATAATAACTGTAATAAATAATTAAGTGTTATGAGCCTAAGAATCTACTTCATGATCAGATACCGACTTTTATCATTAAATGTTCCTTAGTATTTAGATCTGGTCTCAGGATGATAATGTAGCACTTGGGGAAGAAGATGCAGCCCAGCAGGCCAGCCCCAGAAGCCAAGATGGAGAAAACCTGCACGGCCACCATGTATTTCCCTTTGGTGCTCAAGTAGGTGGGCAGGAAGGAGATCCAGACGCTGCAGAAGACCAGCATGCTGAAGGTGATCAGTTTGGCTTCGTTGAAGGCCCCAGGCAGGTTCCTGGCCAGGAAAGCCACTGTGAAGCAAATGGCAGCAAGGAAACCCATGTAGCAGAGAACCACATAAAACATTGTCACGGAGCCTTCATTGCACTGAAGGATGATCACTCCTGATTGGGAGTGCAGGTCAAAATCAGGAAACGGAGGAGAAACTCCCAGCCAGAATGCACAAATGACAATTTTTCCAGCAGAACCAGAAAGGATGATGGAGTTGGCCAAGCTCTTCCCCAACCATCTCCTCACCCTGTTGCCTGGTTTCGTGGCCAGGAAGGCCAGCACTACCATGATTGTTTTGGCTAACACACAAGACACAGCTACTGAGAAGATGGTGCTGAACATTGTTTGTCGGAGAAGGCAGGTGGCTTTCCTTGGTCGGCCAATGAAGAAAAAGGAGGACAAGAAGCAAAGCAAGAGGGAAACCAGGAGGATGTAGGACAGGTCACGGTTGTTAGCTTTGACAATGGGAGTTTCTAGGTATTTAAGGAATATGACTAAAACAAGGCCTGTTGTTAGAAACAAGAGTACAGCAAAGGAGACCAGGATGATGCCCAGATGTTCTTCATAGGACAGGAAGGTTATTCTTTTGGGGATACATTGGATTCTGTCATCCGTGGGATATTTATCATCTGGGCACTTGGTGCATTTTTCAGTATCTGAGAAAACAATAAGTAATATTATTTTTTTAGTTTCTCCTTTCACATTCCAAGAAAGACCTTCTTTGGATGACAGCTGATACTGAGAGACAGGAAAACTAGGGTTTCTCTTGTGTCACCCACCTTCCTGTGTGGAGATGGTCCCCTCCGGACAAGGAATACAATCATAGCAGCAAATTGGTTCTTCTTTCCGAGCCCGTTTTACAAATCCAGGGTGACACTTGTCCACACATTTGGACTGAGGCAGAGACTAAGCAGAAAAACAAAATTCATTCCAAAATATCTGCCAAATTTATTTATTTATTAGATTGATTTACTAAAATAAAATGAAACTGTGCTTAAGAAAGAAACTCTGAACAGTAGATCAAGAAAAGGTTTCTCCTGGACTAAGTAAAATATTGCAAAGCCTCTCCCCTTTGAAAATCACCCAAATCTTTGTTCCAGTTGATATAAAGAAAAAATTCTTCACCAACTAGGACTGTCAACCTCAAATGAGGTATTATTGAGTTATATCTCTACATTTATATTTTCAATTCGTACAGCTGCCATGCTGGTGAAATAAGACTAAACTTTACTGCCTAGTTTCTAGAACTATAGTGAGGATGAGTGGGGATGAAATCATGAAAACATGTCACTTAAAAAGCGTGAGCCAGGCATGTTCTTGTGCAGCACATGGGACATGAGTATGAACCCTGAGTGGGAAAGAGATATTTCTAAGGCCAAGTGAGCAGGGGTGGGTTGTAAAATTTTTTACTACCGGTTCTGTGGGTGTGGCTTATTTTGTGGGCATGGCTTGCTGGCCATGTGACACAGGATGTGGTTTGATGGTCATGTGACTAGGTGGGTGTGGCCAACTCAATGTCACTCACGTCAAGCGGTGCCTCACCTGGCCCCTCCCCTCCCAGCCAATCCTTGTCACACCCAGCCTCAACGTATCTATAGTTCTGTAAAAATGTTGTTCACCTTTTTTCAACTTTATTATCTACATACTATAGATGTACTATAGATGTATTTTCATGGGCCACTGAAAGGAGGAAATGGCTCCCATGTTTTGCCCAAGAGTGTGATAGGCAACAGGTTTTTAAGGGGCTGCCAGAAAGAAGGGGGGGCAATGTATTTTCCAAAGCCCCAGAAGGCAGAACAAGAAGCAATGGATGGAAACTGAACAAAGAGAGAAGCAACGTAAAACTAAGGAGAAATTTTCTGACCGTGAGAAGCAATATAGGTGCAGAAATAGTTCAGTCATAATTTCACATATAAAATAGGCATTTGCGCATATTGTTCAAAACAGTCATTAGTATTATGGCTGATGTTTATGGCTGAAGCCTAAAAGTCCAAGATCACAAGAGTGTTTCTTTCTCTGTATGTATACAAAGCATCACATACCAGGAATAGCATATTAAGATGGATTTATGCAACCTGATGTACAAAATAAACACACACATATTCATGCTCTGGACTATAGACATTGAATGCATGTAAATCCCTGAAAAATATGTGGTAGCCCTGGGCAAAACAAAGGCAATAAAATCACTCTAGGTGTAGAGACAGTGTAAAATATTAACACATGATAAATAATGGAACAATTAAAAATATTAGCCCAGAGTTCTCCCTCTCTCTCTCCCTTCCTCTTTCTTTCTCTTCTATCTCTCTCTCCTTCCCTCTTTCTTTCTTCTCTTTCTGTCTCTCAGACACACACTGTCTCTCCCTTACTTTCTTTTTCTCTTTCTTTCTTTCTTTCTTTCTTTCTTTCTTTCTTTCTTTCTTTCTTTCTTTCTTTCTTTTTTGTCTCTCTCTCCCACTTCCTTCCTCTTTTTTCTTTTTCTTTCTCTGTCTCGACTATCTCTCTTCCTCTTTTTCTTTTCTTTCTTTCTTTCTTTCTTTCTTTCTTTCTTTCTCTCTCTCTCTCTCTCTCTCTCTCTTTATTTATTTCCTGGCTCTTTCTCTCTTTCTCTCTGTCTTTCTTTATCTCTCTCTCTTCTCTCTCTCTCTCACACACACTTCCTCTTTCTTTCTTTTTCTTTCTTTCTCTTTCTTAGTCTCTTTCTTTCTTCTCTCTCTCTCTCTCTCTCTCTTTCTCTCTCTCTCTCTCACACACACACACGCACACACACACACACACACACATATACACAAACACACACACACACACACAACTGGTCTGGACACAAAGTATCTGTTGTTACAGATGTTGTGTGCAGGGAAACACTTTGCCACAGTAAAGAAAAATTTCTTGTGACTGCGAGGCAATTAACCTCTCGCACTCAGGGGAAGTTTTTCTTTACTTTGCAAGGTTTTTCCCTGCACACAATGGCTGAGAGACAACCCGGAGCTACCAGTCTGTGCTTTGCCAGGTGAGCAGCAGAGCGAGTAAACCAGGGATCTGCTGGCTTCCTGTAATCTGCAATTTACTTGAGAGCACCATGTTCACGAGTAAACTTGCTCACAAGTAAACTGCTGAATAAAGGCAGCCGGCAGATCGCTGCCTTACTCAATATGCTGCTCACAGCCAGCAGCTCACAGGCAGTGAAAGAAACTGCCGCCTCCTGCCTCTGTGCATCAAGGAGGCCGAGCAGCAGTGGGAAGAGCACAGGATGGGAGTTGCAGAAATTGGCTGCCAGCAATGCCCTCAGGTGAACATCTTGTGGGTGGGGAGGCTCAACCCCCCCTTAGGAGCCTCAGTTTACTTGTGAGCACCATTGGCCTTTCTCCCTTCCTCTCCCAGCCAATATTGCTCACGAGTAAACTTCAGCTAAGATCTCTCATGTGCCTCTTTCTCAGGCCAGGCTGGCTGGGGAAAACGCACAGGAAGAACTCTGGTGCCACAATCTCCCGCATGCTCCCCTCCCTCCCCACGTGCATCGGTCCACCACCCACTGCTGATATCTCCCCTCCACCAGCTCTCCCTCCCCTGCCCACCCACTGGCCAATGCCCTTCGGCCTTACCTTTGCCAGCAGCGGTGAGCAGAAGTACGTGGCTAGATTCTGCAAGTAGTGGTTGGGCACAGCGGGTGGACAGGCAGGGCGAGCGAGCATCGGGTGGGCGGGGTGACCAAGTGGGAACCGGTTAAGGGGCGTGGCCATCCAGAGGTCACTACCTGTTCGGGGAACCATGCCAAATTTCCACTAACAGTTCTCCCAAACCGGTCCAAACTGGTAGCAACCCACCTCTGCAAGTCAGGTATTTAAGGCAAGGTCCTTTCCATTGAAGAATTACAGTTTTGTTGTTAGTCGCTACTTGTTTCCAACTCTTTCATCCCCCAAGAACCATAGCACTCCAGGACCCCCTGTCCTCCATTGCCTCCCAATATTAGAACTACAATTAGATGACATGGAAAGACAGATCCACATTTATTTATTCCTTAAATTTGGAGAAATCTTTGTTTCAGGGAAGACTTAAGGTAGCTGACAATCAAAATAAATAAATTCCATTCAAGGGGTTTTTAGATGGCTTACAAGCCAAAGATCAAATCTAAGTAGCATTTTATTACAAATTTACCCTCATTATTACAAGTGTCAAGAAAGACTTGTGGGGAAGCAGTCAAAGTCACTTTCAGTCCTTCATTTTTCTAATTTAAGGCATTATCTCATTTTGGACAAGTCATAGTGGTTCCATTTTGATTGAACACCTTGGATGACCTTCCTAGCAGCAGGAGGCCTATCCCAGTGGGTGAAACAAAAGCATGAATTACTGTGGTCAGATATGAGCTATTAAAAAATATCTGAGCCTGCTCTTTCAGAGGATCCTAACACCAACCATACAGACAGAGAAAAATTGCCAATATTTTCAACCACCTTGTTGAGCAACTTTAGCCGTGAAAGAGCATCTTGGTCGATAATAAGCCTCTGTCTTTCAAAACTCCCCAGTTGCTCTTGGATGGGATCCTCCTCGGGGAAAAGCAACCAATTTATGATATTCAGATCTGCTGCTACATTTCCACTTTGGTCCAAGTACAGTTTCTCCCAGGAAAAATTGCAAAACTCATTCTTCTCCAGAAAGGGATGGAACTAGAATTGAAACATCCAGGAATTTTAAAAGCAACTTGAAACATCCTAAAAGGAGGAGCCATTTTAAAGCTTAACTAGTGAATAAGAGATATTCAGTCCCCTCTACAATATTTGCCTGAATAGCAACAACACTTAGACTTATATTCCACTTCACAGTGCTATTACAGCCCTCTCTAAGTGATTTATAGAATCAGCAACAATTTGGGTACCCATTTTACCAACCTGGAAAGGATGGAAGGCTGAGGCAACCTTGAGCTGGTCAGGATTGAACAGGATTGAGGGTTAGGGTTAGCATTAGCATAAAATGCCACAGCAAAATGCAAAGACTGAGTAGCCATCAGTCTGAAAGGCTTTAACTGGATTCCTGCAGTGAGGAGGGATTAGGCTAAATGCTCCCAGGTTTAGCTGAAATTTTTGAATATAAAATTCTATCATGCTAATTACAAACACATAAGTACAAGAATGTATTTACAATGTATACATTTTAAATAATTGTATAATAGCAGTGTTTAATATCAAAATCAATTGTCTCAGTGCCTGCTCTTTGGAACATAATCCTGTGAACTAAATCTGGCCTCCACTTGGCCAAAACTTTTGGGTTTTTGTAGAACAATGGTTCTCCTACATCAGCATTGGATTTTTTTCTAAATAGGAACTAGGTTTGATGGATCCTTGTCAGGACCCATACCTGCCATGGCTCTAGCCTTGGAGCCCCCAATCTCTCTTTCTTCTCCATTTTTCTCCTCCTAGATATTGAGGAATATGCAACATTCAAGACATATGCCAGAATCTTAGCAACAGTATAAAAACGGTGCTCATTTTTTATCTGAATTCTATTCTTTTTCTGTTGCATGTCCAGTGGTGCTATCTGGGTGCATCGTCTCCGGCCCTTGACAGAAAGGACATGCTTTGAAAAAGAACAGCGAAAAGACTGGTCTTCAAATTTGGAATCCCTAAAAAGAGTGGATTGAAAGGCTTCATCATTCGGCCATTTCCTTTCCTGAAAAGCAAAGACCCAAATGCTATGGATATATTTGGAAAGTGTATCCCTTTTCATTGTCACTTTCTCCATGATTGTGGTGATCCAGACTTTCCCTTCGATGGGTCCTGGCAAACCTTGAATTGCTAAATGGATGTGGTGAATTCTATCCACAATGGAAGCAAATTCTACGAAGTGAACAAAGACATTGACTTTTCTCCACTTAGAGATGGCATTTCTGAGAGGTTCTGTATGTCTAGTCATTGAGATAACCACACAAATTCCATTTCTGACAAGTATAGGAGTGAAAGTTCTCATGAACTTCTCTCCCTCCTCTGTGTCTGGTGCAAAGAGACCAATCAAAGTCCATCTGAAATGGAGGAGGAGTTGGACAATTCCTAGATACTGGATCCCATTTTTGGGAAGCATCTGATGGAAAAAAGGCATTTGACTTTTATCAGTCAAAGCATCTGAAACAATTCCAAAACTGATCTGAAGAAGAAATGAAGAATGGTGTATTACGTTTAGATCAGATCAAATCCAAAATGTAAGTTTTTAACACATACAGTGTGGTTCTCACAAACATATTAGAATAGTCCTGCGGTCACCAACTGGTGGTCCAAGGACCACTGGTGGTCTGCGAGAAAATTTTGGTGGTCTGCAGAAAAATTATTTGCCTTTTTATATTGCACTAAATACTATTTATCTTTTTTTTAAAAAAATCATCTTAGTGGTCCACAGGATTTAAAATTATGAATTTGGTGGTCCCTGAGTTCTGAAAGGTTGGTGTCCACTGGAAAAGTCTATTGTTCTTAACCCTTAAGCCATATCAAGATAAAGAATACAAAATGCAGAATATTAACAAGATTGAATATAATCATTTGCCTAATCTGGGGTCTAAGATACTGCTCTTTCTCTTTTCTAATAAAATTGACATCCAGATAATAGACTTGCTATGTCTTCTATAGGTAGATCACTGTGAATACAATCAGTTCATTTTAGAGATTTGCTTAAATGTTCCATATTTAACATTGTGTCCAGCTGCTCAAGTCTTGCTCGAGTAAATATTTAGACCTCCTCCCCACTCTGGATCCCAATCCCTACCCATGACAATGGCCATGAGAAAAGCAGTTCATGATTTCCATAAAAAAGATACGATTGAATCTATTACCCACCCACCAACAACCTGCTCACTTTGCCAGATAGAGAAACAAAAAAACAAACCTGTGGGACTTTGTAGGGGCCTACTAATGTTGACATCTGAATGGAGATGTCATCAAGAGATCCATCAAGAACAGCCATCAGGTTGTCCTTCTTTCCACAGCTGTAGTTGGGAACATTGGCTTCTCCAATAGATAGAATGTCCAGCAAGGCATCAGAAGTGCCAAGGGTGCTTAAATAATTGTCATGGATGTTGTAGCCAAGTGTGAGATTGTACAAAAGCTGAGAATTCTTGTTGACTAGTTGAATGGCAAAAATGAAGAGTAGGATTCTTGCTGGTTCAGTAAATGAATTACTGTAAAAAAAATGTTCATGACAGCATTATCTTTAACAACAACAACAAGATTCAGGTCCTGCAATATAGGAGTAACTGAAAAAAACAAAGAAGAGTGTTAGGACTGCAAATGGAAGGAATGCAACTCCATCACACTGAATGACTTACGAGGGAAATTGAGTATAAGGAGCTGTGTTGAAAGACAATGTTATATGGGATATTATTGTGGCAGTGGAGATTATACCAATGAGGTGGTCTCCTGGCCTGTAATAGCTCCGTAGGTTTTTTCCCTCATATTCCTCCAAACTCAGCAGGCACTTCATTCTCAGTTTCCCAGAGACTGGCTGGGACATCAGCAGCAGCAGAAGCAGAAGGAGGAGGTCCATAATTCATGAGGATGAATCAATCCCCTCCCTGTTTCTAAGGAAGAACAAGAGCATTCGAAGAATTCAAAGCACCATTCAAAGATGGAAATGAGAGTGACTTTCTTGACTGAGATTAACAGAACTTCACCTGGAAAGGAGAGAAAGGAAAGGTACATTCAAGAAGCACAGTCCCTGAATGTCCCAAAATTTGTTCCACACAGAGTGTGACCTGAGACGTTTATCCTTTTCTGATGCAAGATCCCTTTCAAGTTGCTTCAGTCTGATGTTTACATCAAAGGCGATCACTGGAGAAATATCAGGAGAGATCTCACAGACCAGGATTTTAATAATTACTGTAAGAAGCAATATCTCCTCTGGGAATCCTGAACTACTTCTGGCCCTCTACGTACGGAGGAGAAGCTGGAGAAAAGTATAGTGAAAAATCATAGATATATCCCTAGAGGGCACTGGTCTGAAGTGGTTATTGTTCTTCCTTTCTGAATATGTATAGAAAGTGATGCTGAAGAAAGATAGTTCGACACCCAGGAAATTGGGTGTTGAACTTCAATGTACTCTCTTGTCTCCAGAGACTCCTGGGGAAGGTCACCCAGAACTATAGAGTGTGGTTCCACCTTAGTGTCAGACCTGGAAGCCATCTTTTATATTTGGGCCTTCAGGCCTGCCACATTTTCTACTGTGGGAAAATGTAAAGGGGATTGCATAGAGTAGGGGTAATAGGTAATCAAAATAACATTCTTTTTTCATAGAGTCAATGCCACCTTGCCCTGCAGCTGCAATGAGGTGACTGGAGGCATCTCCAGTTTTGGATGGTGCCTGACTGGCTCATGTGATGGATATGTGGGTGCTGGGGAAGGGACTTGAACTTTCTTTTCAGCAGGGAAAACCTGGAAACTTTCAGATTTGGGTTTTCTAAGATGTGCCAATATGACATCTCTAATAACATGGAACTTTGAAGAAATTCAAGCTTTGGCGTCTTCTTTCATTGGCGGTGTTACTTGGAACCCTGACACTTAGTTTGATGACGCTTAATTCTATTTTTTAAAAAGATTTTTATTTTTATTTCTTATACACATATTGTAATTTATTATTTTTCTTCTTCATTGGTATTGTGCTAGACTGGGCTTTTATAATTTCACTTTTCAAAATTTTCCAAGCTTTTTGAGTTGTTTTCCCCTTGAGGATTCTTATCCACAGAATCCTTCTCAAGCTCTCTCTAAGTTTATTGAAATTAGCTTTCTTAAAGTCCAAGACTCTAGTTTGACTTTGTTCTATTACTTGTGTTTGCATAATGTTGAATTCCAATATTGCATGATCATTTGCTCACAAGGTTCCTGTAGCTTCAACACCTTCTATCATTTCGTCTCTGTTAGTGAGAATTAAGTCCGATATGGCTGATCCATTTGTTCCCTTCTCTACTTTTTGGGAAACAAAGTTGTCTGCTAGGTTTGTCAGGAACCTGTTGGATCTTCCACTTGGTGCAGAGTTTGTCTCCCAGTTGATGTCAGGGTAGTTAAAATCCCCCATTACTATTGCGATGTGCTTCCTACATACCTTAGTTAGCAAAAAGTTCATCTACTTCTTCTGTTTGGTTGGGTGGCCTATAATATAGATCTATGGCAACGTCATTCCCCCACCCCCTTTAATATTGACCCAAATGTATTCAAGATAATTTTCATCATTTTTGTGCTCTATTTCTGTAGAGATGTAGTTATTTCTTATATATAGTGCAATTCCACCTCCTCTTTTATTTGGTCTATTTCTTTTAAATAATTTGTATCTCTCTAGCTGTATGTTCCATTTGTGGATTACATCCCACCAAGTTTCCGTAATGCCAACAATATCATATCTGCCCTCATTTACTTGAATTTCTAATTCACCCTGTTTATTCCTCATATTCTGTGCATTGGTGTATAGACATTTGAGTCCATTTTGATTGACCCTTTGTTTACTCTCTACATAACTTGTGTCGTGCATGATGGCCCTACTTTCTTGCCACCTGTTTGATTAATGCACATGGTATGG